GAGTCCTTTTAGGGTTTGAAGGGGTAGCCATGCTATGGAACAGTACAATTTCTCTGTGAAATATCATATTGTCATCCATTATTTTTGTAAGCACATGATTATGCAATCAGCTCACTCACCATGAGAGTTTTGTGGCTAAATATCAAACATGGGCTGTAAAAATTCACCTTATATAGCCCTTGATTTTAAAATGGAGAGCTGAAAATAGCTTGAAGTCCAGAGAAGGGAAACCTGTAATTCCTCAGGCATTCTGAGTAATTGTAGGAGTTCTAATTGAAAACTTCCTCATCCAATGTGACCTTGCTTGAATTAATTTGTTTTGGAATTAGTCCTGAATAGTTCAGTAAATGTGGAATTCTCTGAAGTTTACTCATTGCCAAGCAGAGTCCAGCTGACTGAGAAAAGTAAAACGGCCCAAAGACAGTTTTCAAAAATGTAAAATGACTCAAAGTCACTTCATCTTCCTCAGTGATGTCTTTAGCAAGCATGCTAAAGCAGCTAAGTTGTTGTACCTATTATGAATCAGAAAAAAGGAGGTGTATGCACAACTGAGAGAATCATTAGGACTGGAAAAATCTGACAGATTGCATTATGCTACATTTTCTAGAAGAATTTAAAAAATTTATGCAGTATACTGGCAACTTAAGATTAATAACTCTGTTCCCTATAGCCTGTAATGCTTTATGCTAAATTTCTCTCAAGAAATTAGCAGGCAATCCCTGAAGTGGAAGAAATGGCTTTGGACTGACATTTAACATAGGACAGAAATCCAGGATACCTTTATATACCCTGACCAAGTCCCCATTGTGCTGAAGTCAATAGCTACATGGATTTTTTTTTATCATTAATCCATTAATTTATCATTAATGCAGTCAAAAAATACTGTTGTAGCCAAAAAACCTGGGTTAAAGGAATATGTGGAGTAGTTTTAAGAACATGATCCTCTCTTTTATTCATCAGACTGAAAACCAAAGAACTTAACAGAGTCTGCTTAGTCAGTGCTTGTTGCTGGAGAAGGATTTCATGCATCTGATTGAGTCTCATATTTAGTATTTCTGGCTAGCAGCTTTGATTTGAATATAAAAGCAATATACACTGAGAAGCTATTCCACCTGATGGGTAAACATCCTGAGCAGTGGTCCAGAGGAATCCAGAGGAAATGTTTCTCTCAAAAAAGATGAAAGTGTTTTATACAATGTATATAATATCATCAGGAGAAAATATGTGTGCCTCCACATCTGAAGAGATGATAAGCTGGTGTTCAAGTTGGCCAGAAGTGCAAACACCAAGTTAATCTCTCTCTCTCTCTCTCTCTCAGAAAATGGATTTTAGCATGTCCTTCTGCTTCACAAGAGACCATACTAACTGCTACCTCCATTACCATTGCAATTCAGTGTTTCTGCATTCACAGTAAAACCAAACTAAAAAAAACCTGTGAGGAATCATCCTGAAATAATCTATAATGTAAGGAATGATTAATATAAAGGACTCTCTCTACATACAGAACTTGTAGCAAAAATAAGTTGACCTTCTCAGACAAAGGGGAACGAGGGAGTGATTAAAACTTTCCAGATGTCCTTGTTGGTTATGTTTTCATAGTACAGTCTAGTGCTGTACCACAGTATCTGAACTGCTTTTCAGTGAGGGAAGGCAGGTGTTGCAGGTGGGACAAGGTGTTACTGCTCCCCACCTACTGCCCTCCATTTCCCAGCAGGACTCTACAGCCAGGGCTCGCTCTGGCTCAGCTGGTGGTGGCACAGCAGCCTGTGCCTCCCACAGCACTGTGCCACACTGCCTGGGTGTCTGCTGAGCCGACAGTGGGATGATGTGCTTACACAACAGGGAACCAGGCTGGTACTACCTGGGAAAGTGACCCAGTTTCTATGAACTCTTCTGAAAAGTGAAACATTGCTTGCAGGAGTAGGAGAGCTGTAAGTCAGAAGCACTTAGGATGACTACTGCACTCAGTGACTTCCCATTCAGGAAATTACATGTTGTCTGTGACGGAGGAACGAGGTGGGAGGCAGCAGCAGCTGGAGCTGCGTTTTCTCAGCTGTGCATCTGACAGCTGCGACTGGATACGGTTCAGAGGCAGAAGGCATATGCTGCCATTCAGGGCTTTTAGCATCAAGTATCTTTTACTGGGTTCATTATCTCCTCACCAAATGGAACGTGGTGGCTAGAAGTGCCCTAGCCTCAATGACAGAAGAGTCTCAGCAGGGGTCACACAGAGGCCAGGTCCAGCTCACCATAGGCCAGCAATGCTGGCTGCCTCCTTTGCCCTGTCACTCGTCTCATTCATTTTCACCCGGGGCAGCAGGGAGTGCCCTAGGCCTTGGGACAATCTCCCTCAGAGGAGGAGAAGACTGGTTCCACAAATAATTAAACTACATGGATCCATGCAGAAGTTATGTGCTCTTTAGTACCAATGTTTCTCTGTAAAGCTGTAAGCAGTTTAGAAGAGCCCGATACTGGTAGTTCTTTTTCCATCTATTAGAAAATCCTGTTAGCATAGTCCATTAATAATGTCCCACATAATAGTCATTAAAGTTGCAACCTCCTGAAAGTTGTAAATGCATCTAGGAAGATTTTAGGAAAAGGCATGCTGTAAATATATATTCTATACTTTTGTAATGGAATTCATAGAGAATTTTATTTTAGGTTTACATTTTTAGTAACAAGAATTAATTTTTAGCTAAGCCTGTGTGTTATGAATCAATTGCTTTATGACAATGATAAGGGGCAGTCATGACCTGTATAACTAAAATTGAATGGAATAATTAAATTGAAATGACTATTAATTTTCTAACAAATTCCTTTAGTTTCTTTGCCAAGAAGAATTTGTTACATCAGAAGCAAAAAAGAAGTTAATTTTCCTAAGAAATGAAAGACTGAATTGAAAATAAAAGCTGATGTCAATGTCTGACCTTTCTGACATTTATCTGAATGTCAAATATCTGCCAACACCATTTTCACATTTCAGGCAACTGCTTCTTTTACAGTTTTCAGAAAGGGAAGAAGAAGTAAGATTTTTGTAAAAATTATAGTAAGGATAGGAAATGCAGCATCTCCCTCCAAAGTGACAAGGGCTGAAGAGATAAAAATGAAAGCATTACACCTAGGATTTTAAAAACAAGAACTTATTTGACAACTGAAATTTCTTTTAAAAGTGAATCATATAATCCTTACTCTTTTTGTATATCAGATATTTTTTCTGATTTGCATATTTACCCTATATAGAAGCTGAGGAGAGATTTGCTCCATGGCACAGAGATGACATTTTAATTACAGAGTCACACTCAGAACTGTATACAGTCTGAACAGGAAAACATCTCAAGTCATCTTTTTTCCCCAGACTGTCAATATCACCCCACCACAAAAAATAAGATTTACATTGTGAGCAAGAAAATCTATTTGATAAATCATTTCTGAGATGAGGGAGAAGTTAGGACTGAAATGAAGGTTAAAATTTTCAAAACCATAGTATTTAATCAGCAGACTACTAATCAATGCAAAACCTTTCTCATGAGCATGAAAACACCGTGATGCAAACATACTTACTACCTAATCATGTATTTTCCCAAATATATTCTATTATTCAGCTTTTTCACTCTGAGGAAAATAAAAAAAAAAGATCTTTTCAGTGAGTATTTTGGGCTTATATAGCATATAAACTCAAGACACTTTAGGTAAAAGTCAGTCCACTTGGTAACCAAGGTAATTCTGAAAATATTCCAATTCAGTACTTGGAGCAGATCCCAATATAAGCATCTGATTGTGTCTTTTGCCATGGAAGGTGTCTTCCATGATCACACAGTAATATATGATAAAGATGAAAATTAGTCTCTGGGGTAGCAATAAGATCTCATTTGATATCATGATAATATCTCTATTAATCAAAGAACAGAAACATCCCTAGAGGGGGCACTGCAAGCAACAATTTCTAGTTTTCCACGGAGTTTTATATAACAATTAAAATACTATGCTTAAGATAAAATAATATATTATGCTACTTCTGGGATGCAAATGTATATTATTCATCCATGGCTTCCTTTCGAAGCTCCCACTGTTCTGTTATACAACAGATGTATCAAGCAAATAATTTAAAAAGTATTTTTATACTATACATTTTGAACTCATTTTTACCTTTTGTAAATGGGTAGCCTGCACTACAGCTTAATAGTATGTCGCAAGGACAATATCATAATTAGGAACTGGCATTAACATATTTGGAAACGTAGAAGTGAATTTGGATCCATTTACAAAGAATACATACTTCCTATAGATTTCATTTTAATTATTGAACGGCTCTCTGTGCAATCTTTCCTCTACCAATACATACTAAAATTCTAAAATGGATAAAGTTATTGTCTATGCTAAGCAAGAAATAAAAGAAAGTTGCCAGAAGAATGTTAAAAGATCTTAACAGTGAGTGTTATAACAATGAATGTGAATGGATAATGAGTAACAGCAGATGTGTGTAGCTTGCTAAAATGCTAACAATTCAATGCACTGGCACAATTGATTACACCTTGCCTAAAAGTAATTAATTACCTTTTACATTAACTGCCTTTGAGTATTAGACTAAATATATTTTTAGTCTTACTTCTCTTTTTTTTTTTTTTGGTACTTTAACAACTTAAATTAAAACTAGCACAAATAATGTCATCTAGAAGGTCAATTACTTGATAGATAAACCACATAAATGTCTAACAATATTATACCATTTACACTTGCATTTTTATATTTGCACCTAGATAACTGTATGTATGTGGAATGGAGGTCAAAAATCCAGGTCCATTACATTATGCACACAGGATTCTTCCCAGAAAGAGCTTATTCCAAGATGTAGCCACAATACTACAGTATTAAAAACATAAGAATACTGGTATCAAACATTACACAGCAAAAATGCTTCTAGTGTCAAGCCTCCCTTTAGAAAACAAGCTGATATGTTTTTACATGCAAAGCAGTGAAAGGGTCAGTGGAGACTCGCTTACCTGTGGTTGACCTGATGGTAGAGGTGATGTTGGAGGATGTCAGCGCAGGTATACATTCATCATCTTGCGAATAGCCTGCCTGAATGGCACGCAAGTAACTGTGGCTTCTTGTTCGGAAACATCCAGGGAGGTCAAGGGCATCCATTGCCTGAGCTTCAACTTCACTAAACACTGATTCACACACCGATTCAAATTGCCCATTAACCTCTGCTTCACTCATCTGAATAAACAACAACAATGCATTTGATTTTTGACTTGCTTTTTTGTGATCATCACGGCCTCAACATCTCAAATGGACACCTGTACATTGATGAAGAACTGTTTTAGCAAATAGTTAAAATGTAGTAATCCCTTCTGATCACATTCACATTGTTCAACTAAGATCAGCTGTTATCACATCTATATTAAATGCATCACACATGCCATACAGTAATGCTCCATTTAGTATCTTTTGCCATAGTTGAGAAGGGACCCAAGCCGAACTCACTTCCTGGTAAACTGGTTAGCCATTCACTTCCATGGAAGAACCTTTTCTTCAGCAGCATTATATAAAATCTGACACTTCTACCAGCAGGAGTGCTGTGGAACCCTGCCTGTCAGAGCATCCCAGCTGTGCCTCCTGAACCCTCTACCCTCTGTCTCCTTGGGGTATTTCAGCAGCAGCCTCCAGCTCCATGTTGTCCCTCCTTGGGGTATTTCAGCAGCGCTTAGGCAGGACCCAGCATCTAACTGCTAGCCCTGCCTTGCATGTTGGGCATGATGCAACACTGCGCCTTTTTTAGAGGTAATTTTCATGATAAACAGGACTTAGGCAGAGTGGCCAGGCGTGGTAGGCAACCATATGTCACTGTTTTGAGGATTATTGCTTTAATTCTACCTACAGCGTTTTTCAAACTTTCACTGAAGGCAGCCCTAACTACTTGTAAATGTACTTGAGTAATTCAAATGTTTATCCAAAATCAGAGAGGAAGTTAACACTGGACAGATAATTGCATGACTTTCTGAAAATAATTTTTTCTAAAAAGTGAGCGCTAGATATCAGAATCAATATGAATAATTTTACAAGTTAAATTTATGGAATCACTAAATGGCACATCCAGTTGATATCAATTTTCCTATACAGCTGCTAAGTGCTCCTAGTGCTTTATTCATTATGGAAAGAGAGTCCCATCAAATGTTTCAAATGTTTTACGGTTTTGGTTAAGTAAATGGAAATTTTATAGAGAAGCTCTGATGATTATGAATAACTGATAATTTTGTGTAAGACATTTTGACTACTGAAAATCTTCAGAAAAGAATTAAATTACTCTTCATAAAATTTGCTTTTAATAAAGTTAAGTAGACTAATGCAATCTCAAAGAGATAAAAAAAATCTTACTCTGAACTATTTCACAGTATTGTTGATCAGGAAATATATAATATATGGTAATTTAGTCCATAAACTCGGAAAGTCTTAGCCACTTATTTCAAACTAAGGTTATTGACAATAGAAAATTAAAATTTTCAATCTGAAATTAAAAATATATACCATGGAATTCAGCATTCTTCTTGAGTCTACCCTTTGTCAGGTGTGAAAAAGGACGGATCTCACAACAAAAAGAGTTTGTAATCTTACAAATTACACAAACTGCTACTATATAGATGGAACAAGAGGAGGATGGTGTCATGGAAAAAGAACAGGTTCAGATCTTGATATTTTAATACATTTGCTTGGGGTAATATCTATTAAATGCATTTATTAATGGTCTGGAAACAGCTGGACTGTGAGTTAGGAAGTGTGTGGCTAACACAAAGTTGCATAGGTTAGTGAACATTGAAAAAGCAATGAACTATATCCAGCAGGTTTAGTTATTCTGGCCAATTGAGCAATCTACCTGCAAATGAAATCTATTGTGGACACCTTCCAGGTAATGCACACTGAAATGAAGAATTGTAACCACTACTGAAACCAATTAATCATCATGGACAGCTTGGTGAATATCTCTGTGCACAGACGTGGCCAAAGAGGCAGAAGATGTTAGACTAGTTCTATGTGAGAACGTTGTTAGTTGGCAGCTGACAGCATTTGCTTTGAATGCAGGATTTAATATGCATGAAGTTTTCTCAAAAGCAGAGTGTAATAAAAAGACAAAATAACCAATAAGCAGCATAATAAAAAACAAGGCATCAGAATGATGGGAACAGTTTTCACAAGGGAGTTGTGAAAAAAATAGTGAAAGGTTTGGAAAATGACTGATTGTTTCTAATTCTAATGTGTGCTGCATAAGATTAAATTTAGAATTACCTCACACAAATTGAGGAATTTGACTGAAGGGCATTAGTCAGGTGACTAGCCCCTCCCAGCTCTCTACAGTCAGTGGAGACTGACAAGCATTTCCAGAGGGCTCTCAGCCCACTCGGGATGTTCACTGTCCTGGAAGAAGCTCTTTTGCTCCATTAACTACAGAGGAAGCTTTAGTTGTTGCCTCAGTTAAAAGCCTCAATTTAGATGAGTTGAATCCAGGCCTGAATAGCCATGCAGCACAAATCGAATATGCCTGAATATGAAATTGCTTTAAAAAGATTTATCTTTTAACATAACCATTGTGTATGTATACCCTTAGGTGGCTCACTAAATCGTCAAATAAATATTAAGTACCATGTCTGAGAGGTGGGCAGGGCCCATCTGTCATGAAACAACACAGGGAAGAAAAGTCAGGACCAATAAACATTAGAAACATTGGGAATTTTATGTAAAGTCCTCTGCTACAAAGAATGTATACATAATTCTTATGGCTTATTACACTTCAGGTGTGATTCAGATCTCACTTTACCATGAGTTAGTACTAACTAACAGACATAAAACTGGTAGGGAGGAAAACTGTACCTTTTCAGGAGTCCAGATACATAGAATAGTTGATAGGACTTATTCTTTCACCCAAGAAGAGTGAGGGTTTTGACTTAGGATGAAACACTTTTGGAGCATATTTTTTTCAATCTATATCTTAATCTGTCAACCCACATTTACTGAAATCAGAGCAGGTGTTTTCAGATGATGAGTGTTGAAGGAGTGTACTCCTCATGCTCAGTCTAAATCTTCTTAACATTTAAATATTTATTATGGAATGAAAATAAAAACACTAATATTTATATTTTAATAAAAAATAAATGAAAAGTATAATGTTTGATACTGTTTCTTTGCCCCTAGCATTCAGTATTTTTCTTGAAATTTTGAGTTACATTCCTCAGAACTGAATTACTTCCACCATTCACATCCTCAGTTTGATATTGATTTAAAAAATGCAAAAAACCTAAAACCATCCACTAGTTACAACTCTTACATCTGCAGTTAACCTATAAGAAAAATTATAACAAGAATTTCCCACCTGACTAACACAGCTGGCCTGACTGAGCGTGCTCACTGCTCTCATATAGCTCTGATTCCTTGAGCGAAACTTTGGGGAATTGTAGTTTGCAGAGGGATCCAGGTTGTGACCCCCAGGCACGTCACTTGCAGTTTGAAGGTAGCTCTGACTACAAAGGAGAAAGGAAGAAAAAAAGGAAAGGGTGTAAAACTACAAATGGTATCAATTAGGACACTAAAGGCAGTAATTTGTACGAGACACACAAACCCACTCCCCTGGGTCCAAACCTTACTCTTTATAAAGTATCATAGATCTGTTGTAGGCAAATGTCTTCACACAAGCAGAGAATCTGTCTGTGGCTCTGCTACCTAGACAGTATGAAATTTTAAGTCATTGCTCTATTTCAACATCATCAATCCTCCTGGCTATTAGTGTTGAACTTTACTAAAAGACAAGGTCTAGGTCAACAGGAACAAAAAACAGGGCTAAAGCACAAACCAAAGCAACTAAAAATCTTTCTTCATAGATAAAATCTGTTACTTGTAATCTGGTTTTCATCAGGGTTTTAGGCATCAAGAGCCCTTTTATCTTCAAAGAATTAATATAGTTTCACAAAAGATTAAAATATCTCATGTTCAGCTAAAAAAATAAATTAATAAGGTGCTCAGAGCAACTGCATGAAGCTCTAGAAATTATTTTATTACAACGTTTCCCATTTTGCAGGACTGTGACTGTAAAACCACATTGAGCCCTCTTCAGTATGCTTTCACACAAGAGTGTGCTAGTCTCCATGTTTTCTTTTAAATGTATTGATAACATTCCAGAAAAATAAATAAACCTGAGCAAAGTGCAGTACTTTGCCTTGAATACCAAAAATTAAACTCTGGCACACCAGAGTTCTCAGAACGTCTGTAAATCAAATTTTAGAACTTTCCCCTGCTCATCAGTGCAGAAATGAATTAAGGTCCCAGATGATATTTGCTTTCATGCGGTAAATAGGCAGGTTTTTTTATTTATTCCTTAAAGGTAGCTTGAACAAAAACAGTTTCTGGAAAGTAGATTTGTGCCAGTTGAATGCCTGATATTGGTCATACAGTTACTTCATGCTGAGCTGGCAGGGTTGGTCAGTCCAACAGTGTCTGTGACGTGTGCCTGGGCTGTTGGAAATTTCCCTGTGAAGGGTGAAATTTCCTCTCTGGAAGAACCAGACCACTCAGTGAGTGAGAAAGCCACAGGTTCAACTCCTGCTGCAAGATGAAGCACAAAGCAGGGTTTTGTTTCTCAGTCCATATTTATCAAACATTGAGCATGACCATAGGCTGGTGCTTGAGGAAGACCTCAGCCGTCCTCATGGAGCAGACACAACCTGAGTTTGGATGCAGCCCCTGAGGAGCAGTCTGGGAGGAATCTCAAACATTTTATCATGGCTTTGCCCAGAAAAGCAAATCCAGAGAGAAAGAGATCCATCTCCCTGTGTGGCCATGTCCTTTGATGTCTGATGTGTGATGAGCCAGTATCCCCTCACACCACCAACTGCAAGAGCAGATGGGATTTAGAGACCCTTATACTTGGGAGGTCTGTTCTCAGGCATTTCCATGTGTTCTTCCATCTCAGGGTCAACACAGCCATCACCCTGCTTCCTCAGTGCATCTGCCTTAGATCCACAGAATCATTTGCTTTGGGAAAGGCCCCTGAGATCATTGAATCCAGCTGTTAACTGAATGCTGCCAAGTCCACAGCTAAACCTTGTCCCTAAGTACCACATCTACATATCCTATAAACACCCCCGGGGATGTTAACTCAGCCATTTCCCTGGGCAGCCTGTTCCAATGCCTGATAATCATTTCAATGAAGAAATTTTTCCTAATAAATTTGCTGGAGCATATCCAAGGAAGAGCAACAGATCTGGTGAAGCAAAAAAAAAAAAAGGATGCATTTTGTTTTCATCTTTATTCAAGTGAGACATTCTTTCAAAATCTCAAGAAATTTCGCTGGAGAAAAAACCAATTCATTTCTTCCTGCCTATTCAGTTCCTTCTATGGAGTGCCTCTGTAACCTCATGCCACAGATAAACTGTGTAGAAACTATGCTATAACTGCTAAAACCAAAAAGAAAATGTATGAGATTATTACAGGTATGTGCTCAGAGGTTAATTAAGTCATTACAGTCAAAGTGATTCTATGATTAAGATAACAGGCTGATAATGGGTCTAATTAGGTTCTAGATGATAAAAACAAGAGCATTTTTTTTTGTTCCTATAGGTATGAAGAGAAATATAATAGATTAGGTGAAGTGGTGTAAAGCCTCACTATCCACATTTAGTGGCTGGATGTAACTAAACTCCTTTCCTCTATAGATAGGCTGATGATTGACAGCTGCTCTGTTTCATTCTGATTTTCGTGTATGCTTTACTTATGGAATCACAGAATGGCTCGTGTTGGAAGGGACATTAAAGATCATGTAGTTCCAAACTCTTGCCAAGGGCAAGGACATCTCCCACTAGACCACATTGCTCAGAGCCCCATCCAACCTGGCCCTGAAGACATCCAGGGATGGAGCATCCACAGCTTCTCTGGGCAACCTGTGCCAGTGCCTCACCACCATCACCGTCAAGAATTTCTTCCTAAGATTTAATCTAAATCTCTTAAGTTCAAAATTGATCCCCCCTTGTCCTATCACTACCTGCCCAGGCAAAAAAGTCACTCTCCCTCTTCTTTTAAAGCCCCGTTTAGGCACTGGGAAGTTGCAAAGGGGCCTTCTCCAGGCTGAACATCCCCAGTTCTGTCAGCCTGTCTTCACAGGAGAGGTGCTCCAGCCCTCTGATCATCTTCTGGCCTCCTGTGGACCTGATCTAAGGGATTCACATCTTTCTTGTGCTGAGAACTCCTGACCTGGACATACTGCTCCAGGTGGGGTCTCACGAGGGCAGAGAGACTTTTAATCTGACTGGCATTGTCAACAATCTCTTTTATGTTGTTACATTAGTATTTTTCAAAACAAATAAGTCTCTCCTGGATGTTCTGTTTGTCATCATCAGGTGGCAAAATCTAGATCCTAAATTCATAAACAGTTGATTAAAGAGATGTTTGAGATTTCATTAAAACACGGGCCACATTAAGAAAAAGATAGAAGACATAGAATTAAATTAGAAATTTCTGTATGAAATACTCAAATTAATTAATTTAAACCTGATTCTAATAATTATCCCCTTTGCTAAATAATGCTTAAAACCCTGGTATTTAATCAATGACATTCTGGTTCCTTCTTAGGTATTTCTATCATTAAATACCATCAACAATTTTTACGGCAATAATTTCTTATGGAAAGAAGCCCAGTACTTCTAAGCAGCTGAGTTTTGATGAATGAGTTTGGATATTACCTGATAGTTAAATAATTTTTCATTCATCAGAGGAGATTAATTGATTGATTCATGGAACTGTAGCAAAGTAAAAGAAATGTTACATATAAAACCTATAAAAGGCTATAAAAGCAATTTTGCACTCATTTCAGTAAAACTTTGAAATTTTCCTGATAAATAGAAATTATTAGTTTTTATTTCTAAGATATAATCTCAAAGTCATCCTCTAGGATAATTGTGTCAATGCATGGTGAAAATTATGCTATAAACATGATCCAGGAAGTGAAATACCAGAGTTACATGGGGAACTTGCTCTCAAAAGTCAGGGTCTGTTGCTCAAGGAAATCTCATGCTTGTCAACAATGCTAGAAAACACAATCAACATCTGGCCTCAGTAAATGCTGACTTTTTAATGACATCCACTCTATCTATAAGCTTAGGAATAAAATTCTTGACTTTCATTTCGAGAACATCAAAATTCTTTTGCTTTGAAAAAAGAAAATATTTTTCTTTTATGTTCTGTAGCAGCATAGATGATCTTATATCTCAGCTGATCACTGCAGAAGGGCAAGACAAGCATGTGCAAATGAGATGTTTTAACAGATCATCTCCAGGACAACTAAAAAATATACATAGTAATATCAAAGAGGTGGCTCTAAAATCAGTAGTATGGAGAAAGAGGAATAGGGTGAGACTAACAGGAAAAATTAAATTAGCATGTCTGTCTCTTCCCACTTGCTTTTCTGAATAGACTAGATTTTAGGAAAAGATGTTCTTTAAAAGCTTTTCTGCCCCCAAGTGTTACTTTCCATTTTCCATTGGCTTCAGAGGAAGTTCATGGCAGCCAGGCAGAGGTCTTAAATTTAATGAGAAATATCTTATCTGAAAGAAAGGCTCAAAACCTAAAGAAATTTTGGGGAAAAAAGCACTTCCATGTAATGACCTTACAGCTGTTGAGAACCTCTACTCTAAAAGTGAAGGACTCCCAGTAAAGGTAGCTAAATTTGCAATAGCACATTCAGCACTCAGCAGATTGCCTGAGTGTGTTCAGGAAAGAAAAATACTGTATTATAACCAGATAAAGTGAGCTATAGCATGACAGGTTTATCTGGGACAACATAACTGATAGCATGCCTGATAGCATAGCTGGGATAGCCTGTCAGCCTGGTACAGAGTGAATGGCAGTGAGGTTAGGCTGCATATTCCAACAAATCTACATCAAGAGTAAGGGAACAGACAGAAGTCCCAAAGCAGTCCTAAGCAGTTTCTAAGAGTCTTGTATTACCGTCTCCATTTTATTGCATTTCTCTAAACTGCAAAAACTCAGGCTTCTGTATCCAAACCTCACATGTTCTGATGCTCCTCGAAAGCTGCCCCTTCCTCCATGCTCAGAACTCACATTTGCCAGAGTCCTCAAGGACAGCTCTTTTTCATTCTTGACCCACCCAGATCCTAATCCTGACTGTTTTTTCTTTAAATCCTAGCTAACAGTCTCCTGTTCAAGATGTTCTAAAAGACCCCCCCAGAAGTCAGCATTGGGCCACTTATCCTTCTGTCCTCTGCAGATTTCAAAAGTACTCCTAACACCTCTATTTGTCATCAAAGTCCTGCTCAACCTGCTGCAGTCGCCTAATCCCACGCCCTCACTTAGGAGACTACCACTAACCCAAAACCTCCTCGACTTCTTGTGCAAACTAACTGTTCTTTCCCACACTTCATCATGAGTAAAGTTTAAGAGCAGAATGGGGGAAAATAATTTCAGGAAAACATCTGTTACTTTAACCTCACAACAAGTAACAAGATGTGCTAAA